GATTGTCGCGCGTGCGAGAATGTTACGTGTGAGCGAGCGAGCGAGGCAAACGCGTAAGGGGGAAGGCGGAAAAGGAAAAGCCTCTCTCCAGTTCCCTTCTCGAGGGTCTGAATGGGGGTACCTAGATAACACTAAGCACTTCATTTTTTGGCTTTGTAACATGAAATAGTTAAATTTTAGGCATTTAAACACTAACAGTAAAGATTCTTTGAAACAATATTTTTTTTCCTAGATAGAAGCAAAAACGGCTCCAAAAGGCCAATACTATTTTGTTTAGTATATCAGGGCGTTTTTGGCCATTTTACGACAATTTTGGATTATTCAGAAGATTTCCGAAGGCTACCGACACTTGACAGTATTTCCTCGGAAACAGTAAACATAAAAAAAAAATTGGCTAATTTAGCAGCAAACACTCAAAATTATGGGCAAATAACACCAAACATTAAACCCCATTCAGAACCTCCTTCTCGACTGGTTCGATTCGCTCTCTCCAGCTCTGCCAAGTCTCGATTCGACAGACTGAAAAGGGAACTGCTCGAAGTCTACAATATAATATTAAAATTTCATGAGTCTAAATTACGCTTTCATTTTCACTAGAATATTTGTGCCTACAAAGCTTGCTTGAACAATGCAAAGTGTTTCCTTGGATATACGGATAAGGGGTTTCTTTGCGAATGCCAGTCTGGTCACACGGGAGAACTCTGCGACACAGGTAATTATGTGGCCAGCAAACGCAGACATATTCAGTCCTGTTTTCGCTTGACTGCGCCACAAAGAATACTTTTCGGGCAGAAACAAACTGGAAATACGTCTACGTCTACGTCTCTCATACACGGAATCGCCAGCTAGTAAACTAGAAACTTACCGTGGGCTGTTGCTTCGAGATCCGTCGAGGTGGTTAGAAAAACGAAAGTGTATCCTACCCAGAAATAGAGAACAATTAAATGTTGCGTAATAAGAAATAATCAGGGGGTTCCGCAGCAAAGTTTTATCCTGGAAAGTTCCGCCTTGAGGTTAACCTGAGATCAGGTTCTATTTTCGTTTCGCTTTGAAAATAACATTCCGGCGGGCAAGGCGAAACGAAAAGCGGTAGCCGTTAGAGAGAATGTATGAGAACCGCTAAAATTGGGCCTGATCTCAGGTTACCTTGAGGTCCAGCTCCTTACCCTTCTATATAATATGTTTTGAGAGAAAAGGTACCCCTCCCTTACCCAGTACCTTCCATTGACAAATGGTACCCCTTTCAAATACCTAATTTGGAACTTTCCGTTACTTTTAGCTGCTGTAAATGCACTGTCTTCAAACTGTGAATAAATCACAGAACCAGGAAATTGTCTCGACTTTTTCACAGCCATAAAATCCTTCTGTTAGCCCTTTTAGGTCCTTTTACAGACCGAAATGACACAGATTTCTCCACCCTCTCATATACTTCAACTATTGAAATCCTAAACCCTTTCATACACCTGAAGTCTGGAAAAGGTGCCCCTTTCGCAATTCGAACGAAGCTTCCCCGTATAAGCCATTATAGGGGGTACCCCCCGGGATTTATGCTTGCTCTTCTCGCAATCAGTGAAACAATCAGTCTTCCCTGAAGCAATCAGCATGCTACAAAATTGATTATTTTCTTGCGTTGAATGTCTGTAATGGTTTACATACGATGTATGAGGTTGGTGGCTTGTATTGTTTTCTTTNGCCATAAAATCCTTCTGTTAGCCCTTTTAGGTCCTTTTACAGACCGAAATGACACAGATTTCTCCACCCTCTCATATACTTCAACTATTGAAATCCTAAACCCTTTCATACACCTGAAGTCTGGAAAAGGTGCCCCTTTCGCAATTCGAACGAAGCTTCCCCGTATAAGCCATTATAGGGGGTACCCCCCGGGATTTATGCTTGCTCTTCTCGCAATCAGTGAAACAATCAGTCTTCCCTGAAGCAATCAGCATGCTACAAAATTGATTATTTTCTTGCGTTGAATGTCTGTAATGGTTTACATACGATGTATGAGGTTGGTGGCTTGTATTGTTTTCTTTTCTTTTTTAAGACCTGGACGAATGCAAGGATAAAACTCATCAGTGTGACGTAAATGCGAACTGTACCAACATTCCTGGTTCATATAATTGCACGTGCAGGCCTGGCTACACAGGAAATGGGAGCATTTGTAATGGTATAATTATACTATACAAGCCTTCAGTGACTTCATTTTTCTGCAAGTAGTTTAGTTTTTTAGCAACTTTATATTTTCTACTCCCTCCAGAAATTGATGAATGCAGGGATGGAAGCCATGATTGTCACATAAATGCGAGCTGTACCAACATTCCTGGCTCTTACAACTGCATATGCAGGCCTGGCTACCAAGGCAATGGGAGCATTTGTCAAGGTAAAAATTTGCCAGTTAATTTTTATGACGCGCCCTTATAGAGTCAGGGCTTATAGTAGTTCCCTTTGGTAGTACTCCCTTTGATACTCTTTCGCTAGTTACACTTACACTTAAAAAACCAAGATGGTCACCTGTTACAGACTTGAACAAGGAAAATGTTTTCTTGGATATACGGACAAGAGGTTCTTTTGCAAATGCCAGTCTGGGATAGAAAACGTCGGTGTCACGAGGGTGGGAGGAATTCCGCAGCAAAGTTTTATCCTAGGAATTAAGCTCCGCCCTGAGGTCCAGCTCCTTACCTTTCCGTATATTTTTTTTAAGAGAAAAGACACCCCTCCCTTAAACAGTACCTTCCATTGACAAGAGGTACCCCTTTCAAATACCTAGTTTAGAACTTTCCATTCCCTGTGAATAAATCACAAAACTGGCCAGGAAATTTTCTCGACTTTTTCACAGCCATAAAATCCTTCTGTTGGCCCTTTTAGGTCCTTTTACAGACCGAAATGGCACAGATTTCCCTACCTTCTCATGTACTTCAACTATTGAAATCCTAAACCCTTTCATACACCTGAAGTCTGGAAAAGGTGCCCCTTTTGCAATTCGGACGAAGCTTCCCCGTAGAAGCCATTATAGGGGGTACCGCTCGGGATCTATGCTTGCTCTTCTCGCAATGAGTGAAACAATCAGTCTTCCCTGAAGCACTTAGCATGCTACAAAATTGATTATCTCTTGCGTTGAATGTCTAAGTTTATATACGATGCGGTCAGCATAAAACACAGACTGCGAACTGAGGACCACGGACTGCGGACTGGGTATAAAATACGGACTAGGTACAAAACGTGGACTACGGACTATATATATAAAAACAGCTTTAGAAGGTAAAACTGAGAGAAATGGAAAGCGGACTAGCAAAAACAGTAGTCCCAGCTTTAACATTCCCTTGGCTGTTCACGTAGTCTATTCTTCCCACGAGAAGGAAGGTTATGCCGGTACTCAAGGCAACTGAAATTAAACTCTGAATTTTCTAAAAAGAAGGAGTTTGAAGATATTTCAATTTGCTGTTTTAGACCAATAAGAAGCAGCAAATTAAAAAAAATAGTATTGGTGTTAGTCAGATCAGTAAAATTCTTATCGGATGCCACAATTTTGTTTCAAATAAAGCCTTGGAAATATGAGGACTGAATGAAGAACCCAGACGAGAAGGTCAATGTAGGGCATTCCGCGATGCACAAAAGTAGTATCTAGGGGGGAGGGATTACTCACGTACGGGAATAATAACCGAAATGAGTCATCCAACGTTATATTCTAAGCGATGATTATGATGACATGATTTACTCCCTGCTACTGATCCCCGGAGGGGGCTACTACTGGGAATTCTTGGTGGGGATGTGGTGCCCGGTTCCCCGAATCCTGACCTTATTGCAGACCAAACAATGTCATTTTCCACACCCGTTTTCAGACCAGATCTCTAAAATCCATACCCGTTTTCGGACCTGGCCTAATTTAGCCTGTTCCAGGCTCTCAGATAGTTGGGGAGACTTCCCAGATTTCTCCCGTTTTATTTTCGTGTTTTTGCTTTCTCAATTCAGCGGACCCAACTATCTCAGAGCCTTGAACAGGGTAGGTCTAATTAGGCAGAAATTATGTCATCATTACCAAGTTAGAGGAGAAACAAAAAAATTCTCCAAATGCATTTCGAATTCGCACATTTCTATTTCGTTCTTATATTCATTTGGAATTGAAACGATAAATACGTCCATTCATGTACGCTCCCGTAGTTCCCTCGAAAACCATACCCGATTCCACACCAAAATGGGCAAAGTGTTTTCCGACCAAAAAGGCCCGAAACCCCTAGCCTTCCATTATAGCACAGTTTTCCTTTTTGTTAGTTCAATAACGACACATCAGCATTTGAGCATTTTGATCCGGCTCATGATTCAGAGAACTGGGCGGCACACCTTCACCAAGAATTTACAACTTTAACTCAGTTACGTGTCTTGCTATTTAGCGATCTTCTGATCTTATTTTTCCTTACCTAGAACCAATTAGCACCGTTTTCACCAAAGTAGTCCGTAGTCCGTATTTTATACCCAGTCCGTAGTCCGCAGTCTGCGTTTTTACCTTGCCCTTGTTTTATAGCCAGTCCATATTTTCCAGTCCGCGTTTTATACCTAGTCATACCTAGTCCGTATTTTATACCCAGTCTGCAGTCCGTAGTCCATGTTTTATACTGACCGATATACGATGTACGAGGTTGGTGGCTTGTAATTGTTTTTTTTTTCTTTTTTTTTAGACCTGGACGAATGCAAGGATAAAACTCATCAGTGTGATGTAAATGCGAACTGTACCAACATTCCTGGCTCATATAACTGCACGTGCATGCCTGGCTACACAGGAAATGGGAGCATTTGTAATGGTATAATTAACTATACAAGCCTTCACTTCATTTTTCTGCAAGTAGTTATGTTTTCTTTGTAACTAAATATTTTCTTCTTCCTCCAGAAATTGATGAATGCAAGGATGGAAGTCATGATTGTCACATAAATGCCAACTGTACCAAAATTCCTGGTTCTTATAACTGCACATGCAGGCATGGCTACCAAGGCAGTGTCGTGATAAGATTTAATTTATATGCTTTTCTTTTTTCTTTTTCTTATTCAGACATCGATGAATGCGAAAAGGGAAGCCATGATTGTCACAAAAATGCGAATTGTACAAACACAGCTGGCTCTTACAACTGCACGTGCAGGCCTGGCTACACAGCTAATGGGAGCATTTGTAAAGGTAAAAATTTGCCGATTAATTTTTATGATGCGCCTTTAAAGAGTCGGGACTCATAGCTCCCTTTGGTAGTACTCCCTTTGATCACTTTCCATTAAGTTATTCTTACACTTAAAACCAAGATGGTCACCCGTTACAGACTTGAACAATGAAAAGTGTTTTTTTGGATATACGGACAAGAGGTTCTTTTGCGAATGCCTGCAGTCTGGGATAGAAAACATCTGTGCTCCCCGGGGGAGGAGGAATTCCGCAGCAAAGTTTTGTCTTGTGAAACTCCGCCTTGAGGTCCAGCTCCTTACCTTTCGTTTTATTTCTTTTGAGAGAAAAGGTACCCCCCCCCCCCTTACACAGTACCCCTAATTGACAAATGGTACCCCTTTCAAATACCTAGTTTGGAACTTTGCATTACTTTTAGCTGCTGTAAATGCACTTTCTTTAAACTGTGAATAAATCACAAAACGGACCAGGAAATTGTCTCGACTTTTTCACAGCCATAAAATCCTTCTGTTAGCCCTTTTAGGTCTTTTTGCAGACCAAAATGACACAGATTTCCCTACCTTCTCATATACTTCAACTATTGAAATCCAAAACCCTTTCATACACCTGAAGTCTGGAAGAGGTACCCCTTTTGCAATTCGGGCGACGCTTCCCCATATAGGTCATTATAGGGGGTTCCTCCCAGGATTTATGCTTGCTCGTCCCTCAATCAGCATGCTACAAAACTGATTATTTTCTTGCGTTTAATGCCTAGGTTTATATACGATGTGCGAGGTTGGTGGCTTGTATTGTTTTCTTTTTTCTATATTAGACCTGGACGAATGCAAGGATAAAACTCATCAGTGTGACGTAAATGCAAACTGTACCAACATTCCTGGCTCATATAACTGCACGTGCATGCCTGGCTACACAGGAAATGGGAGCATTTGTAATGGTATAATTAACTATACAAGCCTTCACTTCATTTTTCTGCAAGTAGTTATGTTTTCTTTGTAACTAAATATTTTCTTCTTCCTCCAGAAATTGATGAATGCAAGGATGGAAGTCATGATTGTCACATAAATGCCAACTGTACCAACATTCCTGGCTCTTACAACTATCATACCATATCCATGTATGTATGTATTAAATGTATTAGATGTATGTGTGATACCGTCCGTCATTTGTATTTTATGGACTTCAAGTAGGTTTCAGGCTCTGTCACAGTAATTCGATAGATCTGAATTCAATTACGATTCTAGTTTGCATAAATCTCTTTTCAGGACAAAAACCCTGGTCTTTTGTACTAACACTGAGGGATTCCAGTTTAGGGAGAGCTCTCTTTCTGCTCATCATGGAAGTTTGGTACACTTCTAAAACTGCCTAATTTTCTAGAATAATTTTCTCCTCCCCCACTAATTTCAAAGTCACTACAGTGTCATTACTGTACTCAGCAAGACAACAAATGGATGTGTGGCTCAACACTTTTTTAGGAACATTGAAAAATTTAAACAAATACAGCAAATTTTAAAAATTACAGTAATGCATGGGTTGTCTGGGAATGTTTGTATGTCAAGCCGGACTTGCACTCACTATTTTAAACTGAGGTCCGGATCATTGAATATTCCTAGAAGTCGATTTTTTATGACCGCCTTTAGTAAGGTCAGTAAGAATTGTAAAATGTCGTTATTATCTCCCAGGTTATTGTCAGTTTGGAAATTCAAGTAAAGCCTTTATCTACTCACTGACCAATAACAACAGTTCTGGACACTCTGTGTACAATCCTGTTAAGCTGCCAGTCAAGCCTGATTGGTACAAGTATGCTGTAAGAAGGTGTACTTTCACTGAACCAAGATTTGGCCGGAATGATATTCACATATCAAACAACGCTACTAGTAACCAGGAGTCTCATACTTCTTGTGGCAAGAGCTACCCCCTTCCCCCAGGGTATTCTTTATCTGGTTCTAACTGTACATTCTATGCAGGAAGCTTCAGAGTCACGCCAACAGATATCGAAGTATTCTATGAAACAACCACATAAAGAACTGTATCCTGAGCTTTTGACTTTGTGCTTTTCATCGTTGTTGTTTGTTTGTTTATGACGATATGACTTTAATGTAACGCAATTTGAGCTCCTCCGCATCCTTCGATCCAGTTTCCCCTCTTCTTTACTTCCCATCATGACTCGCGCCCTTATCCGTCCGCTGGGAACCAAGCCTTCTTCTTTCACTTTAGGGTCTCTGTGGGTAGGTAAGACAGGTAACATTAATAGTAGCACCAGCATAGATAACACGCCAAGAGAAACAGAGTTGCAGCTTACTAATATCAGATAACGCTGATAAAAAAAACCTCATTGAGGCAATAAGAGAGATGGTGGTTTTTTTATTGGCACTCTGATTCACCAGCTATAAAATAAAAGGTAAACGTAATTTTGAAAGATGTACCGATACCAAACCAGATTTGCCTGAAAAGTGTCGATACTTGAGAATGACACTATTGATATCGTATCGAACATTCCAGTATCTTTCATATACCTTGGTAATGGTCCGCCTTTCAGTAGACAGTTATCAGGGGCACCCAACGACGGTTTCCTCCTAATGAATACATTGAAAACACTTTTATGCTATCCAGAGTACCGTTCAGAAGCATTTTAAGTGGCGCTGAAGAATTTGTATCTGTTCGGTCATCCGGGTGGAACTTGAGTCTTTTCGAAATTACAAGGGCTTGAGTATATTTTCCCGAAAATTTTAGATGAAATTTGACGTATTACGAAAGTGAGGCATTTTCTAATTCCTCTCTCCATCACATTATTGAATCCGAAAATGTTAGGTTTAGTTTTTCTACGAAAAATAACGTAACTTGGGAAGTAAAATGCGAAACTTGAACTTCAGGAAATCGTAGGGAATTAATTGGATAAGCTTCGAAATTTGTACATGAATGGAACGGTCATCTGGAAATGTTTAGCCGTCATCAAGAAATAGAAAATCCTTGGCAATACTTGCTTCTCCGAACAGATATTTTACATAAAACAGTCGTTAAGTGCCCCTGAGTTATATCACCCGCAAATACATAAGGGATTTTAAAAATGTCAACATTTCATTCAGTTCTCCTTGTATCTGTTATTCACGGCGGGCACAAAGAACTCAAAAAGCTCTAAGGACAGAGGAACACATCAGAAACTTACAGCGATTTCTGACACGTGCAACCAGTGCAAAGTGGGAAAGCGTGCACTCGCCACTCTATGATTGATTTCAGGGGCGGATCAAGAAAATTTTAATAACGGGGATCCAACTTGTACACACTGGTGAAGCTAATAGGGACCTTAAGCAAGGACGATGACGACGACGGCAGTGAAAAGGTCTGTGAAAAAAATGAATTTGCGTTCTTTCAAACTTACTCGCGTCTATTTGGGCCCGCTCATTATAAGTCAAATGCAGGCGACTTTTCCTGGGGTTAAATTCTTAAGGATTTTATTCAGGTTCAAAAAGAGGAGGGAAAATTCGTCGTCGTATGTTCACGTCCTCCGTAAAGCGGCAAATTAGGAGGTTTCACGTCGTAGTCGCGCAGTGGACATCAGAGAAATGAACTTATGATATGTGATATTCTAATCGTGCAGTGCCCAGCTTTGAAGCATTCGTCTCTTGAGTTAAGTGATAAAATACTTTTGTCCAGATTTCGTTAATTTTAAGTCATTAAGTCCCCTCCCTCTGGATCCGTCACTGGGTTCATTTTGGTTTTCCTAGAGGCAAAGAATCACATACCTTAAGTAAGGTTAAGTAAGGTTCTTGAACACCATAAAAAAATGAAAAAAATGTTTTTGGAGACCGGGCCTCCCCCTTATCTAAGGGTCTGGATGACCGGGCCACCCTCCCCTTATCTCAAGGTCTGGATCCGGATCCGGTCCGGAGGTTTAACGAGGCAGCGTGGATAGATTTACAGGACGTTAGAGACTGTACAGCATGCTTTATTCCACTGGCCTTTTATTCTGCAGCTCGCTTTTTTAGGAGAAGAATCCTAGGTACTTCTGCCAACGAAAAAGTGAGGGAAATTTGTGCGCTTGATATAGAAATTAGTAGTAAAGAGCAGGGCCAAAGCTCATGAACTGGTCCTGTGTTAATTCCTGGCTAAATTAATTACATTCCTGATCAGTACTCGACGTCCTGGTGCTAAGCCACGCTCCTTTAGGAGCCACCACTTCTACTGAAAGCAATGATCAACGACAGGTTTCAATATGTTTAATCTTTATTTACTGAAGGTTTTCAGTTCAATTTGTGACCCCTACAAGCCAGTTTACTCCCTTTGAGAGCAATGGTCTCGTGTATAAGCCGCACCCGCGATTTTTGACTCAAAATTTCGGCAAAAACGTGCGGCTTACACACGAGTTTTTACGGTACTCCTGTTTTATAGAAACCTTTTTAAGAATATCCTAAGAGCAGAGCAAAGTCTAGAACATTGTCGATTCCACCAATTTCAACGTGAGGAATATAGAAAAATTGCTATAAAGACTGCTGTACATGTTTGGCTGAACATTGTATGCACTGTTGCCTCTCCCGAGGTCACTATTGGCCTCTCAAAACACGAGGAAATTAAAAGTCGTCCATACAATGTTTACAAAATGTAATTTAAAAACATCTAAGAACGTTTTGAGGCTCAAATCGCCTCAAAAATAAGCAAGTTCAGTCTTGGCTCAGTCTCAGGTCAAAATTAGGCGTTCTTACATGGAGGGTCCCCATTCAATCTCGTCATCTTGACCCAAATATAAAAAAGGTGTACCGTATTTATTCGATTAACCGCCCTGAGCCATATTAAATTTTTGGAACTTGAAAGTGGGCGCTTATTAAATTTTCACCATTTTCAGCAACTGTAGTATAATGTTTATTTTGCAACAAAACAACATCAAAGCAAGGTTTCTGTAAACTACTCTGAAGAAAACTCCGTCTTTAGGGAAGTCAGTAAGTGCTGCCTCCTGGGTGTCCGACATCGTAAAGCCGGCAAATGGGTTAGGTGCCCGAGAAGCAGATACAGCTTGCTGGATGGATGTTAGGTGGTGGGCGCTTATTCGAGGTAGGGCACTTAATAACTTTTTCTGTCTTTAGGATGGGCCCTTATTCGAGGCGGGCGCTAATTCGAGGTTGGGCGCTTATTCGAATAAATATGGTATGTAAATAGTCAACAAGTAAGCCTCACAGCCGGTTACCAGCACTACGATAAATTTTGTTTTCATTTTATAGTTGGAATTTGTAGTGTCTTTTGCTTCAGCTTTCAGGCTCAGTTCCTGTCTGAGAAAAATTAGAAAGGAAAAAAGCAAAGAACAAAATGGAATCTTGCACCCCCACTGAGCCTAAGAGTTGAAGCTTCGACATTTTGAAACTTGTTCATTACTATACAATATTTCTTAGCTACGTATATTGCATAATGTCATACGAAATTTTGTAGGCATTTTAAAAAAGGTAATTCAAGGTTTGTAGTTCGCAATAGGTCATTTAATTTCCGAGTTACCTCCGTATAAAAACGAGCTAAAGTGCTCATCCTTTGATATGGAAATGATTTATGCCAATAACACTCATTTTCACAAGAAAAGTGATGCACTTGGCCTCATTTTGAAAGTGAAGGTTTTTGGAACTCGGAAGTGGCCTATAACTGCGTTTTTTGTAAGAGTCGGTACATACGCAAATGTCCGCCAGGTGGAGAGTTTAATAAGGGACTTCAGCCTTGCGGGGAGACATGAACATTCCTTCATTTCGGCATCGAGGAAATCGAGACCATCGCGCGTGTGTGCATCAACTAGCGATCATCACTTTTGTGAACGGCTTATATAAACGGTGTTATGCCTTTTTATTGTAGACCAAATGACTAAGAAAATGCATTCAGGCGATGCCCTGCACAAATCCAAAGCGGCTCTTTGGTTG